GCCGCCATCCCGCCGAGGGCGGACGCCGGACGCCGGACGCACACGCCGGAAGTGACGCCGCCTCGTGAGCGGGGGCGGGGCGAGACCTCCACCTGCGCAGACCGGGACTCACGGCCACGCCCCGACCCGAGGATGTAGTTGGGATTGGACAGACGGGGAGGGAGGAGGCGGAGCTTAGGGTAACGGCCCTAACGGGCGCGCTGAGGGCCCAACCGCCGCACCTTCAGCGCGGGGCGGGGCGGCCCTGGGCCCGAAGGCGCGGAGCCGAGTCGGCCGTCGTGACGCCGGCGGGTGGGCTCGGGTCGGCTCGGGTGTGAGGCGGGGAGTCCTCCGGTTATCCGTGCGGTGGCGGCGGGACGGTGCCGGCTCGGTGCCCCGGGCGGCGGCGGGGGCGCTGTCACTTCAGCACCAGGAAGTAGGTGGTCCAGCCGGCCAGCAGCAGCGCGCCGACCAGCACCGTGTAGCTGAGCAGCACGAAGGCGAGCAGCTCCCGCAGCAGCTGCAGCACGTGCACGGTGGATGAGGCCGGCATCGCCCTGTGCGGGGAGGCCACAGACCCTGAGCGCGGAGACGGGCGCGGCAGGGCTGGCGCGTCCTAGGCAGGTCCTGGCCCTCAGGACAGGAACCGAGGCCGGTTTTCTTCGCGACCACCACCTGGACGCCGTCCCCAGTTACACTGGAGAATCCCCCACACCAAAAGTCGCTCTCATCCCTGGGCTCTGACCGGGTCTCCGAGGAGGCAGAATCCTGGCTCTTCCCGCCCTGCCGCACTGGTCTTGTCCCAGCCCTCTCCTCCCACCACCTCCTGCATTTTTAATGCTCCGAGTGCCGCTAATGGGCTGGTGGAATGGAGCTCGGTTTCCCGTCACTCAAGCTGCAGCCCCAGCTGGGGCCCGGCCTGGGCGGGGAAGAGAAGAGAGACCCGCTTGGGCAGGGGAAGGCACAGCCCTCACTGCAGCTCCTCTGCAAGCCCCCTGGCCCCAAGGCTCGCCAGTAGCAAAGTTGGAGTATCTTTGCTCTCTGGTGAGCATGCTCGCCCTCTGGCCAGCCCAGAGTGCCAGGGTGGCAGCAACTTGATCCTGGGCTCATCATCCCCACGGTGCTCTGCATCTGCCCCAACCCTGCTAACTTCCACCAGACCCCATCAGACGGTAGGAACCACACGGCGGCTCTGACACCATTGCTGCCCTGCCCAGCGACCCCTCCATGCCAGCCATTAGTTTCCCTCTCTCCCCATTTCACTCACTTGGCAGTTTCCAAACTCCTCCACCGCCGGGCTCCGCCGGTCCTCTTGGGTCTGGTGCTCGAAGGTGGCTTGCGCGCACTCCGGCGAGCTCGGCAGCGCTGAGAGATGTTCAGGCAGCAGCCGCACTCAACAACTAGGTGTGGCCTGGAGACCAATTACAACCTCTGTGCGGTCCCTGAGCTCTCAGGGAGCTGCGCACAAGCGATCCCGGGCCAGGCGGGGCACCAGCAACCCTGCCCACTCTCCGCCTGTGTCACCACCACAGATAAGAGGATTCGGCCGCGGTGTGCCAAGCTCCTGCCTTAGATGAGCTGAGCAGGAGGTACACTAGGGAGTATTTCAAGCCCCTTCTTGCCTTGCTTTGCTAAACACTGTAGGTGGGCTACGGTGCCAATGGTTCCTTTTCTAACATGGAGACCAATCTCAATCTACTCTGAGTCTGGACACCAGAACCACTGCACAAACAACTTGTGACCACTCAACTAACGCAAAAGCTGTTGTCTTAAAAAACATGCAAGTGCGAGCATGCATGTGCGCGTGAGAACCAAGCTAGGAGACCCAAGAGCTCCCGAATGCTAGATTCTAATTTACACAGAGTTTAGCCGTTTACAGACTCATTACACAGGCAGGCACCTTCCCAATGTGCCCACTGCCAATTCACCTCCTCTAAATGCGAGGCAAAAGGAGCCAGTCCGGATTTCTGCAAACTAAGAGACACTTTCCCAGATATAACAATGAAGGAAAAGAAATCACAAACTTTATGCTGCTTCTGATTATTTTGCTCGTTGTAGTAGTTTTTAGTTAAAGACTGTTTTTTGAAAAAGCAAGCAGCATGGACATCAACCCGTTTATCAACATCATCATCCAGAAACAAATGGCTGCTTAATTTAATCAGGATCTCTTATTATCAAATCATTGCCTCGGCCGCAGCCTGGCTGAAAACAGCAGCAGAACATTATCAAGCCGCTCAGGAAGCCAGGGAGTAGTAATTGCTCCCCCAGAGAATCGGTCATCTGAAGGGCTTCCGTGTCCTGCCTAGTCACAGGAAAGAAAGTATGGCTGAGATTTATACTCTCACCCTGCACCAAAATAATGGACGAACCAGGCTATTAGAAACAGGCCTGATTGTGTTCCCTTTTACCTCTCACATCCTTCAAATGGATGTCTCAAGGCAGTTACATGTTTCAGACTTTCCAACCTCTTGTCACCACCCAATTTTGAGTATTTTACAGCGAGGGAGTAACTGAAGCTAAGAATCACCACATGGATTGAAATTCACATGAATCCATTTAGAAATAAAAGAATCTGAGAAACTGTACATTACTGTCTTTTTCTTTGTTGTCTGACAAAAAGGCATCCTCTGTTTTCTATAGTGTGTCATCATTAAACCATATGACTGTGAATACATCAGACTCCACGGTGCGATTCACGGTCTCAAACTAGTCTGTGTGATGTCTGCATTTCTTTGCCTGCCATCTTCATCACAGCCCCTCTTCCTGTCTGCTTTAGAAACCCAGTGCATTTTGTATTTTTAAAAAAGTATTTTCTTCTTGAATTCAATTCTCCTGAATACAAACACTTTCTCCTGGTGGCAGGCTAGTCTTTAATGTGCAATGGAGAACAAGGTACAGACCAGCATGTCATGATTAATCAGAGTTCATTTCTAGTGAGAGCAGAGCTAGAATAGAATAGAACTCACACTGAGATCTTCCCAGTTCTTTCCAAGAATTAAATGTGCTCTTTTTAATGGTCCCTCTTTCCACCATTACTCTCTTGTTCCACAATTAAACTACAAAATACTTATTTCTCTGTTGGCTAAAATTCAAAACTGTATAGTGAGACACAAAACACTGTCTATGTAGACTTCTTTATTAAGCGGACTGCTGGTGTAGCAGAACTGTCTGCCCAACAAGACAAAAGTCCAGACATGATGTAAATAATCCACCCTCTCCAAGAATAAATGTACCATTCACATACTCTTTCTCAGTAAGGGCATACTCCTTTGAGACAAAGACTGCTTCAAGTATTAAATGAACTTACACAAAGGCGTATAATATATATAATTATCTACCACTCTGTACTTGCATACAAATGAAGCAATTGATGTTTTAAAGTCTTCTGCTGAATGGATTTTTAGGAGCTGACCTGGCTATGCTCTGAGCAAGCAAGTATAGAGTCACGAGTGAATGCAGACACATGAAACTACAACTGAGTATCTGTTCACAGGACAAAAACCCCAGCCAAGGAGACTTGACCAGACTTGAATTGAATCCCATTAGCCAAAAACATTGAGGGACAAGGTAGATTTCCTTCTTTGAAGCAGCTGAGGCTGACAACTGCTGGGGCTAGAAGGTATAAACTAATCTCCCTGGGATAACAAGTATTTGAAAAAGGATTTTCTAAAACAAGAATGGTTTTCTTTAAGACATTTTCAAATACTGACTGTCAAGGCCAAATTAATTCCATGAGAAACAAATCTTTTAAATTTGCCCCTGCCACCCTTCATTCTTACACTAAAGAGATTTTTTTTAAAATACAGAATTTCTCTTTCACTCATATATACAGTATGCCTGTAAGAATTCCACTAATGAGAGAGGTGAGGAAAACCATGTGTGGCCACCAATTTACAGTAGAAACCACACCTGGATGGGACAGAGCAAAGCAGGGCACTAGCTAATTTTGCTGGAGACTTGGGCAGTGAAGCCATGAACTTGACTTGGTCTCCTGGATGCCCTCAACTCCTCCAGACACTGGGATGGAGCAGGAGGGAGGAAGGAAGGGAGCACACACGGTTTTCCAACTTCTCCACCAACACCCCTGCTCTCTACCACGGCCCGAGAGTCTCCTGCAGGAGCAGCAGCTGTGACTGCTGGACTCTAAGATCATCGATGAGATACACCAGAGAAGGCTGAGATCACAGACCAGGGACTGAAATAGCTGCGTGTTTTCAAGCAAAATAGATACAAGAGGCCAAGCACAGAGTGGCCACAGACTGCCAGAGAAGCACATGGGGTAGCTGCCATGGAGACAGAGTCGGAAGATGCTGAAGAAACAAGAGTTACCACTGCTCAGAATGGGACCAGCTGGAAACTGGGCCCACGATGGGCAGGAAAGAAAGTGGAAACCTCAACGGAGGCACCACCCTGAAATGTCCTGTACTTGGTAACACGTACACTAATGGTCTCAGGAAGCTGCTCCTCAATGATTACGTTCTTCAACGTAAAAAGCCCTGGATAAGTATGGAACTTACACAGATGCAGCTGATCAGACAGAGCATAAACTCTGTGTCTGGGCAGGAAGCTCCCTCAAACCTCTTGCTTTGTAAGGAGAAGCAGCAAAACTTGTTTCAGTGATCCGTTAAGACAGAGACTGGTGACCCTAAATATAATCTGCCATATTCTGCAGAAAAAGAAATTTCAACTCAGTGATAATATTATCTCTAGTTCCTGACACTTAACAACTGTCCTAGGCATGATGTGTCTTCAAGAAATACAGCACTGTGTGTTAGGGGTTGGACATTCTACTTTTATTTTCATTTTTCCTTCTTCAGTCTCGGCTTTCTTATTTTAAGAACTGGCCCCATTTGTGTGGCTGTGCGGATTATCCACCCCACCGTCCCTACTGTACTTCCAGAAGCTTCTAACAAAGATACTGAGCTTAGAAAACTCAAAACCAGTGTTTCTTTTACCCAGATTGATTCTCTTCTATTCTTCCTTCTTCTAGAAATTAGGAACACAAAAGAGAATCAGAAAGGAGAAGACAGTAGTATAACTTAAGAAGCTGACTCCAAAGTGAATTTTGTATTCCTGTGTTTCTTCTATGGGGTTTCACTTCATTTCAGCAACTTCTTCGAAAAGGCAGTTTATTCTGCAATACGCTTGTTATGTCTCCTTTGAACACCCTAGAAAGGTTTTTCCATCAGAGCCTCTATCCAGCTGGTTCCGTTCATTAGTTTAGTGGTAGCAATTACATACTCTGTACCTCCGTCTTCCAACTGTGAGAGAAATCGCAGGGCAGCAATTTCAGCAAAGGTTACACCCCCGAGGAAAAATATCAGAGTGACCCGGTTTTCTCCTGGTTGACCTAAAATTTCAATATTTCAGAATTAAAAAAACTATTATTGCTGTTTCTCTTCCCACCTCTTAAAACATTTTATCATTCATAAGAATAAAAAAGTCAAACATGTCTTTATAGGCAGTTCATTTGAAACTCAGGAACACTGATTTTGATCTCAATGTTTTTTCTAATGCCTGCGACTCTCAACACAGAGGTTGAAAGCTGCTACTCCTGAGGGAACAGCACAGTTTTAGTGCTTAGCCTGTACATTAGCAGCCCACAAAAGAAGTGTATCTGATTCTGACTCTCGAGTGCTTTACCGATGTATTTTGAAAAGCAACCGTACATGAAAACCACACTAACAATACATAATTATCTGCAGATGCTGGACTGAGACTTACGTTTCTTTTGCAGTCCTGTGGGCAAAGGCTGCCGTTCTTCAAAGTGGGGCCCTGGGAGTATGCGGAGGACCTCCTCGATGCTACGCCAGCCAGGCCGGGAGAGCAGCTGAGCCAGCCGCACACTGAGCGGCGCGTAACCACTGTATACATAAGATATGTCTGTGGGATTCTGTTAAATAAATAAACAAAAAAAGCACCTGTGGATATAGAGACTTAGAGCCACCTGACTGTGGCCTTTTGGGTAATCCAAAATCATTTGATTTGGATTTTAAGGCAAAAACAGAACCCCCTCCTCCATGTCTTGTTCCAATCTACCCCAGCTGGGCTCTATTTTCAGCAGCCAGAGTGCTCCACTTTTTTTTTTTTTTTTTTTAAGAGACAGGGTCTCGTTGACACCCAGGCTGGACTGCAGTGGCCTGACCACAGATCACTATAACCTTGAACTCCTCAGCTCAAGCAGTCCTCCCCTCTCAGCCTCCCAA